TTTTTTTGTTTTGTTCAGTGATATTAGTATACACAGAAGGCCATAGAGAAAAGGGGAAAGTAAATAATGTCGATTTAAGAGTTTTGGTGTGATTTTTGCTTAGGGGAATTTGCAGAACCCTGGTTGTATATATATATATATATGTATGCCTATAATTGTTCCCTATTAACATGTAATCTTAAACATGATCCCTTTCTATAACAACTTCTTTCCCATTTTCCGATATAAAATTTGGAATGTAAATTTTCGTTGTTTCCCGGCATCTCTATTTTGTGACCCTACTAATTGTTGACTATCGGGGCATGCTAATTAGCATACACTAGTTTGTTGTTACTTGAACTATCTTCGTTCCGTCTTCGAGGAAGCAAAGCAAAGCTCTGACGAAGTAGGAACATCAATTAATTAGCTATTAAGGAAGTATTAATGCAGATTCCAGACTTATGGTTATCTTATTGACCCGTAGATCGTCGAATAAATCTCATTTGTATATCAGTGTTTTGCAACATTAATTAAAAAAATTTATCTTTAAATTTTACTTTTAAAGTTATAAAATATTTGTTTTTATGAAATGATGATTTGGATAATTAATTTATGTTTTTTAAAAATTAATCTAGATGAACTTTTAAAAAAATGTGATAGTTACATGTTAGTATTAAGTATATATTTTAATATTATTTTACTTAGCATAAACGGGTCAGCTGGAATTAAAATAAAAAGTAATTAGCGAAACTCATAATTTTTTACCAAAATAAAATTAAATCAAGAAATTGCCAACAAAAATCGAAATGGTTCCAATTCCAACTAGGGGTGTTCGCGGTCTGGATTGGATCGATTTTGGAAGCAAAAATCATCTGATCCAATCCCTTCGGTTTGATAATGTAATTATCCATTCGGTTTGAATTTTTTTTCAAATCCGATCCGATCCAATCCAATTTTTTTCGGTTTGGATTGGATCGATTTTCGGTTTTTTGAAAATCCTAAAATTTGTTTCATGATTATCGTACAAATAACATCTTTTGTATATATTGGCTTTGTAATTTCTTTTTTTGAAATACAAAATCATTAGGAAACAACAATATAGTTTTTTTTTTTGACAATGAGATATGAAGCTTTTCATATATGAAATTTTGTTAATGAGATGTGACTAAGTTTTTTCTTGAATTTAGTTGATGGGTTAGGGTTTAGAATTTTTTAGGTTATGATTGGAAAAAGACCCAATTAGGAAGAGAGAAATTAATATATTGGATCGGTTTGGATTTGATCGATTTTCATCAACCAATCCGAAGTCCGATCCAATCCAATTAAAATTTGCGATTTTTTTCGGTTTTCGATTTTTCAATTTTAGATTTATTCGGTTATCGGTTTTTCGGTTCGGTTATTGCGGTTTGAATCGGTTTGGATTGGTTGATGAACACCCCTAATTCCAACCATCTTTTATGTATTCATGAAAAAGACAGGTCCATGCAAGTTGTTTCTTCGACCAATTATTATTGCGCATTGTTGACGACAAAACACAGAAAAGTGCACAGCCTTTATTAGAAGTTTACCAATAATTTGTTTTTAATTTAATTTGTCTAGATTCCCCTTTGATTGCTTTTTATTTTTATTTTTACTTTTTAAAAAGTTAACCTTTTTATCTATTTAATCTTTATACATTCTATCACGTGTTCTCAAATCAGCAATATGATTGTACTTTAACCCATATCCTCTTTGCGCTTTATTTGATTAATTATGCATGCCATTTGTTTTTGGGAAAAATTATTTTTATGATACATAAGATAAGTTTTGCTTCTTACACTTTTTCATAATTGTGTCACTTTTTTTTTTTTTTTTCAGGAGGTGGAGCTCATAAGTCTATCTCTATGACATGAGATAACTTATCTCCTTTAACATTAGATTAATAAAATCTTTTATTTTTACAATAAAAATGAGAATGTAACATGACAAAAAAAAAACAAATTTCTTACTGATTTATGGATAAACGTGTAGACATTTCTTTTGTTTTTTATTTTTCTTTGGGGATTTGTATTTGTCATTTAACATGACACAACAAACTTTTTACACACACAATATTTTGTGGGGCTCACACTTTTTGAAAAAAAAAAGAAAAAGAAAAAATTATGACGAATGTCTATAATATTACACAATCACTTTTCCTATAACATAACTCTTATAAAACTCTTTTCTTTTATAGTAGAATCCACAAAAATCTTTTTGTCCAGAAAAAAAAGTTTACTAAAGTTTACTATCATGTTACATGACATATATATTCCCCAATAAAGATAATCTCCGCCAGGTTGTTAAATTAACGATTAAGTTTTTTCCTTAACAACTTTGAACGTATTCTCATGTTTTTTTTTTTTTTTTTTTTAAAGAAAATGATTATTTCTCTCGTATTGATTAAAGTACGATTTTGAATATGTCATAGCTAAAAAAATACATTTAATTCAACATTATATTAACCTTTTAGAATATTTATGTCTGACTTTGAAATTAAACTAGATAAAAATTTGAAAATGAAAGTCATTAAAGTTTCGTCTTAGGTATACGTGTCACATATCTGATTTTAACTAGCAGTACAACTGTATAAGTCAATTGAATTGACGCTGTCATTATATGAAATAATGAGAATAGATACGTTGGAATAATAAAAATAATAAAAAAGACAGTTGTTACTTGTTACATTAACGATTAAGTTTTTTCCTTAACAACTAACTTTGAACGTATTTTCATGTTTTTAAAAGAAATTGATTATTTCTCTCGTATTGATTAAAGTACGTTTTTGAATAAGTCATAGCTAAAAAAATACATTTAATTACACTTTAGATTAACCTTTTAGAATATTTATGTCTGACTTTAAAATTAAACTAGATAAAAACTGGAAAATGAAAGTCATCAAAGTTCCATCTTAGGTTCACGTGTCACATACCTGTTTTAATTAGCAGTACAGCTGTATAAGTCAATTGAATTGACGCTGTCATCGTATAAAATAATGAACATAGATACGTCGGAATAATAAAAAAGACAGTTATTACATTAACGATTAAGTTTTTTCCTTAACATCTTTGAACGTATGCTCATGTTTTTTTAAAGAAATTGATTATTTCTCTCGTATTGATTAAAGTACGATTTTGAATAAGTCATAGCTAAAAAAATACATTTAATCACACATTAGATTAATTAACCTTTTAGAATATTTATCCCTGACTTTGAAATTAAACTAGATAAAAATTGGAAAATGAAAGTCATCAAAGTTCCATCTTATGTTCACGTGTCAGATACCTTTTTTTTTAGTAGGTTCAGATACCTGTTTTTAACTAGCAGTACAACTGTATAAGTCAATTGAATTGACGCTGTCATTGTATAAAATAATGAACATAGATACGTCGGAATAATAAAAATAATAAAAAGACAGTTGTTATATTAACGATTAAGTTTTTTCCTTAACATCTTTGAACGTATTCTCATGTTTTTTAAAGAAATTGATTATTTTCTCGTATTGATTAAAGTACGATTTTTAATAAAACGTTAGATTAACCTTTTAGAATATTTCTGTCTGACTTTCTAATTAAACGAGATAAAAATTGGAAAATGAAAGTCATCAGAGTTCCATCTCTGGTTTACGTGTCACATACCTGTTTCTAATAGCAGCACAACTATACAAGTCAATTGAATTGACGTTGTCATTATAGAAAATAAGTTTAATTAACATAAGTTTTGAGGTTACCAAAACATGACCTTTCAAGTATAATAATTGGCCTAGCACGAATTTCATCCAGGTGAATTCTAATTGTTTTTTTTTTTTTTTTTAATAATAATAACGATCCTATTTTGAGTGAACACCAACTAGGTTAATGGGTAAGTGTTTAGGTCAATGTTATGGTGAACATATTTGACATGAGTGCTTCATATTTCCAGTTCTTCGTAATGAGTTCCCTTTATCATAATGTGTGTGTATTTATAACAGCCATTATAAACAATTACGGGATAAGATCGTGGGTGGAGAACAATTATTCAGCAATGTTTGTGACAATTACAAGTAGTTGCCGATGATGTGTGTTGGGCACAAAGTTGGGCTCCACGCTAGATATGGGCAAGTTCAACCATATTTAGATCGGAAGCAACTACAAGTCCAAGAAGTAAAACAGGTTGAACTCAGAACATATCATAATTATTTCTTTGAGACGAATTGATTTTAAATATTTTTACAACTTTAATTCTTTGAGTCGATTATGATATAAATTCCAAATCAGGACTAAATTAAAATTAAAAGTTTTCTTTTACCCAAAAAAAAAAAAAAAAAAATTAAAAGTTTTCACTCCAAGGATGTATTGCCTTCTCTTTCTTATTATGCGGAAAACTTAGTCAGATGCAGAGAGTTCCTCGTATTTCCTTGGTGTGAACATAAACTCCTACTTTACCTCAATATAATGCCAATTATAGGCTGCAATCGTCGACGTGTATACCTTGCCTAGCTATCCTCCTTCTAGATCGAGCGTAGGCATATGCTATTTGACCTTCAATCACTTCCTTCTTCCCTAAGCATTTGCGTTTTCACGTGAGGGTCGTAATCACTCAATGATATTATTAAGTTGGTGAGGGTAGTAGGACTCGTGTGAACTTGACTTTGTAAATAATATGTGTATGATGATGTGTCGGCCGGCCAAGTTTTATTAATCGTTCCTTAATAATATATCATGTTTTTTGGGTTACATATTTCTCTGTTAAACTTCTATTTATTTAATTTTAATTCTAGTGGATGTCAAAACCGCTTAGTAAAATTAATTCATTCTTCCTCTCCCCAAATTTATATGTAATTGCAGTGCTATTGAGAAGCCAATTTGGGCCTGGTATGATGGGCTAATTCATTTTGAATTACACTTTTATGGGCCAAGCCCAACACAATCTTCCATTTATGGGCCAACCCATATGACACACCTGGCCACAACCGCAAGAGCAACTCTAACTAGCTATTGGAGGGTAAGCCAGAAATTATGAGGAAGTGAGTACCAAACTTTTGCTCTCGTTCTCCGCTGATTCTGAAGTTGCGAAAAAAATCACTGAAACGATGAGCTTTCATCTCATAACCAAAGCTTGGCGGCAGAGCCAAGCTAGAAAGCCAACCACGTTTTCCTATCTAATTTTACGCTCATTTTCTCAGCGTTCGGAACGGTTTGTGATTCGTGAAACCTCATATTTCTCATTATTATTATTTTATTTTATTTATTTTTTTGCATTGGATGATTACACTCGGCTTCGATTTTGATAACTGATCTAGCACTAACAGGCCTTCATTCGGCATTGCTTTCGACATCGACGGTGTCATTCTGCTCGGAAACACTCCCGTCGGTGGTTCTCCGGTAGCCCTGAGAAGATTATACGACGCCACTGGTGAAAAAAAAAAAAACTCTGTATCCATTTCCGTCATTTCTTTTTCGCCATCAGTGACTCATGATTATTATTTTATCTGTTTACGTTGTCAGGTAGACTGAAAATCCCTTACGTTTTCCTCACCAATGGCGAGTTCTTCCTCCAATTTTATTTGTTCCTTTTACGTTTGCTCGAAATTTCCCCGTTCTGTGCCATTAGTTTGAGATGGATCTTTGAAATTTCCTTATTTTGTTTTGAAATAATACGGTACTTATTTTAATGTTGATTTCATTTTACCTTTCACTCAGGTGGTGGCTTTCCTGAAGCTAAAAGAGCCTTTGAGCTAAGTCAACTTTTGGGTATAAACGTCTCACCTTCACAGGTATGATGGTAGAGTTTTGCTATATCGTCCTAAAACATCACCCGGATACTTAATAAAGAACGCATTAAATGAAAAGAAAATAGATACATTTAATATTTTAAGAACGTAAAAAGCATTCGATACTTTCTTCATTTTGTGATTGGGAGGATAGTTTAGGACCAAGGAGGATTTCAATTATTGATTTTGGAAATATGCAGTAATCTACAGTACCTGACAATTCTCTTGCCCTGTATAATGATCTATACGTGTGTGGTTCTATTTTCTGGTATGTTTGCTGCAAGCACGTCTCTCTCTCAAAAGCCACGTGTGACTGCATTTTTCACATTGTTTCCCTAAATTCTCTTTTGACATTGCTGAGGTTCTTCCCTTAACCAAATTGTGATCTTTATGCAGGTTTTACAGGGTCATTCACCATTTAAACAATTGGTCAATAGGTATGCATATGCATCTTATCTGAGCTGGTTGCGAGTGAATTTATACGCTGAAACCAATATGGTTAACATGCATTTCTTCAGGCCTAATTTATAGTATTATATTTATCTTATAGAATTTTCAGTTCACAGATTTGAGAATGAACTCATTGTTGCTGTGGGAAAAGGGGAACCTGCTTCTGTGATGTCTGAATATGGTTTTAAGTAAGGTTTTTGAGATATTTGTCTGGTCTTATATTTCATGAAAATGTTGAATAAGCAATCCATCATCATCTTTAATGTCTTGTTTTTTTGTTCATGTTGATTTTTATCTTCAGAAATGTTCTTTCAATTGATGAATATGCATCATGCTTTGAAGATATTGATCCACTAGCACCATACAAGAAATGGACAACCAAGTTGGCTGCTACTCAGAATGCAAAGTTTAATGAGAGTGCTCCAAGGAATGATGTCTTCTCTGAAAGGGTTCGAGCAGCATTCATAGTTAGTGACCCTGTTGACTGGAGCAGGGACATACAGGTTACAATGATTCTATGGTTATTTGTATGAATCACAGGTTATAAAGAACAATAATATAATTAAACAGCTTGTACTGTAAGCATTGAAAAGTTAATGGAAAGCTTAACCATTGTGCATCCATTTCTTTCCCACAAAGAAGCATGATTAGGTGGTATTGGTCTCTCCCTTGATTGGGATCTAAACTGTTCATAGCTTTTGGTTCAGGGCTCAAGGTCATCTACTTTGGTGGATGTTCAGTAGAGCAAAATGAGCAGTGTTAGGTTACTTCTATGTTTAGATTTCAGTATATTAGATATAATGTCATAAAAATATGTCGTTCGGTGTGAGAATAATAGCGAGTGGTCTATGTTTGGGCTACTTGAGATCCATACCTCTGTCTTCATAGCAAGATCAAAAGAAATGAAGTGAAATAAAAAGAAGAAAATAGAAAGAAGAGAAACAGGAAAAGGAAATGCTATAATATATACAAGGATCCAGAGTTGAGAACAGAAGCATTCAACTAAGTTTGACACTTCATGCTTTCAAGCAGCTGTCTACTTTACTAGTTTTAGTTTAATCATATTTGAATTATAACTTGGCTTGTGTTTCTGAGAAGTGAGAAAAAAACAAAATACATTCTCTACTTCTCTGTGTTTTTGAAAAGTTCTTAGATTTGATGTTCTTAGCATGGTATTGGTAGATCTGTGAACTGATCAAGGCATTTCATTCAGGTTCTCTGTGACATCTTTAAAACAGGAGGCCTTCCTGGAAGAAATGTTGGACCACAACCGCATTTATATTTTGCAAATGATGACCTTGAATACCAGGTTGGTTGATATTTGCTACAGATAAGTCTTGCAGAAAGATAGGAACCCTTTTGATGTACTATACTATTATACTTACTAACAAGGTCCCACAAAAGGTAGACTAAATTTCCTTCTGAACGTCTGGGCATGGGAGCTTTCAGGATTGCATTAGAATCCATCTTCAATAGGTAAGGGTGCCTATTATCTACATACATACATGGAAACATGAGAAGCTAATTAAGCATAATACCAAAACTGCAGTAAAATTAATTTAGTGGCTTGGTGCTGATTTAATTCATATTTAGGCTTTTAAAACCTTACCTTTATGCAGGATTCACCCTCATTCCCTGGAGTACACTTGTTTTGGCAAACCACATCCATCTGTTTTCAAGAATGCAGAAATTGTGTTACAGCAACTTGCGTCACCTCTTTATGATGATTTCTATGATATAAATCACAATAATGCTCAATATTTTAAAACACTTTACATGATTGGAGATAATCCTGTAGTTGATATTAAAGGTGCACGGCAGGTATGTCTCTTGGAGTTAGATTTCAAAAGTGTGATAAGTAAAGTTGTCTGCTGACAAATTATACTATTAATGAAAATATTGCATTTCAGACTGGGCATCCTTGGTTTTCCATTCTTACGAGAACTGGGGTTTTCAAGGGGAGGGAAAATCATGACAAATTTCCAGCAGATCTGGTAATTCCTTTCACATTCCTCTGGTAGAATCTAACAAGTGGTTATTCCTTGTTTCCTCTCACTTTCTTAAAATTCTTTGGAATTGGCAGTCATGAATAGTTGGAGACTATGATAGAGAAATGCATCTTTTTCTTTTCTTCCACTGTTAGTGCTATCATGGGAACTAGTGGTAGCCTGATCAAAACTAAAATGGGTTAGCAATCCTTAAGTTGGACATATATAATAAAGAACCAGAATGATCTATACTTTTTATATTATTATTATTTGTTTTGAAAAAAGGACGGAGGACACGTGGTTATTACACACTTACATTATGTCGCCATATCCATGGAGTGTACCTGTTTTAAGGAAATGTGGCCATGGTTATAACGCAGCTTGGATTCAATTGTACAAATCGTAATTTTGTGTGAAAATTGTGGGGGGTTGTAATCAAGGCAACACCACCCTATATCGTAGCCTTATTACTATTTAGATTTAGCGACCAATGTTACCATTCTGAAGTGAAATAGGGTGATTATAATTAATTAACTTCGCTTGTGCAGGTTGTTGACACTGTAGAAGAAGCTGTGGACTACATCTTGGCAAAGGAGAGTGCTTAATGGGTCCCGTCCGCTTTACATGGCGAAGGCTCTATTTCTTCAAGGAAAGGGTTCTCAAAAGAACATTTTGAAAGTTAGAAGGTGATTCTGCGATCAATAAAACAATGTAATAATTAATGGCTTTGTCCTGCACTCCTGCCATTCATTTGAAGCACATATAAGTTACGTGATACACTGGGTGAAATGTTTTTTTTTTTTCATATATATTTTCACCCGAGAATGTTTGCTTGCGTTTCGGATAGGTTGAGAGCTTTAAGTCAGTAGCTTTTTCCAACCTTGTTGAACGTAGACATTCTTGAGCTAGTAAATTCATTTCAAGATTGGACGGGAATTTCACTATTAAATAGTAAATACCTCAGCATTACTTCGGCTAAAAAAAATTATGAATAAAAATGTAGTAACTAATGCAAATTTACAAAATATGGGTGCATATAAGTATAACCGTCCCCATTCAGTTAATAGAAAAAAAGTGAAGAATAATATTACAAGGACGTTCTTAATAAAAATTATTTCGGGTTTAAAATACCTTGCGGTTATGGATATTATGGATATTTATCAACCAATTCAAATCGATTTAAACCGCGATGACTAAATCGAAATACCGATAAGAAAACCGAAAAACTAAAAACAGTAAAAAAAATTCGTAAAATTTAATTAGATTGGATCAGATTTCGGCTCGATTGGTGAAAACCAATCCAATACAAACCGATCTAATGATTTCCTAACCTTACACTCTACTTATTTGGGTCTTTCTCCAATTATAGCCCAAAAATCATATAATAAAATTCTAAATCCAAGACCTATTAACCTATCATATTGAAGAAAGTGGATTGTACTTGATCTATGTTATGATTTTTTTTTATAAGATATATCACATTTTTATTGCATGGGTTATTGTTTTACAGCAACTCCTCTATAGAATGAAAATTTGGACTGCTTCATATCTCAGACAACCACATTCTAAATTTTTTATTGGAAGTAAAAGATGATAATTCAACTTTTTGTTGTACTGTATTGAAAATTAAATTATCGTTTACTGATACTTCTAGATTACACATTAATCATCATACAAACTTTACAAAATCAATACATACAAAAGATATATTATTTGCACAAAAATTACCATATAAATTTTAGACTTTTCAAAAAATCAAAAACCGATCCAATCCAAACTGAAAAAATTGAATTGGATTGGATAAGATTTGAAAAAAAATCCAAACCGAATGGATGATTACATGATCAAACCGAATGGATGATTACATGATCAAACCGAAGGGACTGGATCAGATGATTTTTACCTTCAAAATCGATTCAATCCACACCGCGAATATCCCTAATTGCGTCTTTGACAAAAATAGCAAATAAAATTAGGACAAAATATTTTAGGAGACAATAATAGTTTTACCTGAATAAATACAGATACACACCGCGTTTCATGACAAGGGCTTCAATTCGAGTTTCTGAAAAACAAAAATATATTGGTTGTATCTAAGAGGTAGGATCCTTTGACACCAGTGTCAAATTTTAAATTTGACACCTCATCTAAGAGCCGTTAAATCAGAAAAGATCAACGGTGTCACATGCTTGCAAATCAGAGTCGTTGATCTTTTTTGATCTAACAGCTCTCAGATGAGGTGTCAAAAGATCCTAGCTGTGCATCTAATGAAAGCTATACATTGACGTAAATGTGCATAAGGTTTCAGGCAATATTTTTGCTTCAAACGCATTCTTCACTCTGCAAAATCTATACCAAACATGCCCGTGCGTAGCTTAGCCGAATTCCGATAACAATTATTTGGGGATTATTCTTTTTGTGTATTTTACAAATGGGGTTCTACATGATATGTGATACTTAAGAGTGAGACAGAAGTAAAAGATAAAATACAGAACACCCTCTCCACAAAAAAGATATAGGGAATACTATTTCTACAGTGACGGCACATATTGTTATCTACAGTGACCGCCAAAATGTCACCGTTTCATGCTTAAACAATTAAAAACATCTAATTGTGGTTTTCATTCTCTCTCCACTACTAATCACCATCCCTAATTGTTCCACAATCCATAACATCGAAGAAGGCAGCGGCAACGGTAAAAAGAACCAATTAGATGGTACTTGTACCAACAACATTTGACTAATGTCAATGCCTGGTTTATTGGGAAGGAATGCATGCATTGCAGATACTGATCAAGTACCAACATAATTGTTATATAAAACGGGCGAAATTATTCAAATGTGTTAGGTACAAGTACCATCTAATTGGTTCTTTCTACAATTGTCGCTGCCTTCGTCGATGTTATGAATTGTGGAACAATTAGGGATGGTGATTAGTAGTAGAGAGAGAATGAAAACCCCAATTAGATGTTTTTAATTGTTTAAGCATGAAACGGTGACGTTTTGGCAGCCACCGTAGATAACAATAGGTGCAGTCACTGTAGAAATAGTAATCCCAAAGATATAATTCCAACAACCACATGCCTTAAAGCCATAACCCACATATTTAGAATTTGATCACTTGCTTAGGTTGGCTCCCGAGTTTTCCCAGAGCTTTATCCAATGCTGTGTTGAAATCGTTAAAGGGAGCCAATTCCATTCTGCAAACATGGTGACCAGTACATGAAATCAACTGAGAAACAAAGATGAAAGGATATATAACAAATTTTACAATTTCATGATAGGTAGAAGACATACTTGTATTTCAACTTTCCATCTTGTGCAAGACCCAAAAGCCTGTCTATCATTCTTCTGCTCTCTTCAGCTTTGTCTGTGCTCAACCACTTCTGCAACCAGAATCCCCTCAAGCAAAGTTCCTGCGAATACATGGATCTAACCTATGGTTACATTTAATAAACCAGACAAAATACTATTCTAGTACGAATAGAGGCACATCGCATTTGGAAGGTTATGCCACAAATAAATTATGATATTAAGAGATCCCAAGGGTCATGGTCCAACATGATTATTTTTTCTTGCCGTTTCCCCATTCATTTTCTAATTTGTTTGATTAAACATTAAGTTATAGAGATGCCATTCCAAACAAAGGGTACTGATATTCTGAAATCCTCTGCACTACATTCGGATTATATTACCCAAAAAAAAAAAAAGCTATTTGGTCATCCAAGCAGGCAAGTGAAGATACGTTGGGAGAATTCATAACTCATTTAGTAATTTTCACCCATTCATGCAAATATCTGGGCATCTTGATATCTATATTCATTAATTCTTCAATAAGCGACACCACACCAGTACAGAATATCAGCACTATGAAAGGACTACAACTCTAGAATTATGTCTTAAAGTTATTTACACAACTTCAATAACATTGAGTCTGCTAGACAGAGTTTTATATCACTCAAACAAATAATAAAGTACCCAGTGGATAGATAGCTGTGTTGACAAACATGACTTATATGCCCTTGGAACTCTGGAGAGAAGCTGCAGGCACCTATAATTCATTTTTTTATTTTCTTTTTACTGCTAGGTTATCTTGTTCTTGAACAACAAAGGTTTATAAGCTAAAAATAGGGACCTATAAGAAGGTTCGTCAACTCACACTTATTTATTGAGCTAAGGCCTCCCTAGACCAAAGTTGATCTCCGGTAATCTTGCAAGACACCCAGGTTAAGTGGCCTGGACTACTTTACTAGAAACGTTTATACCCAACTTCTGCACATTCAGACAGAATATAATATATCATCAATTTTCAGGGAGCTGTGGTTAATTATCTTAGTAACTTCTTAAATTGAAACCTTTTTAATTTTAACCACTTCCAAGTTCCAACTATTGCCGTCATGTATATGAGTGGAAGGTACAAACTCCTCAGTCAGACAATCACCACTTTTACTGGCAATTTTAATTTGATTCGACTTTACATACCCATGATTTATTGTCTTTATTTTTCATGTAAGTCATTGTAAAAACCAAGATATATCAAAATTTTAACTAAAAACGATGCTGCATAATATCAATTTCGAGAGGGAAGAAAATGATCGGAAGTGACTGCCTGACCTTAAATATGAAGGATGAAGTTGATACAGTGACAGGTTTTTTAGACATTCCACCATATGTCACCATAGTTCCTCCATGTCTGCAAGGCATAAACTTGTTTAAATCTTCATAATAATGATACATAGTAATAGCAGAGAAACTTTCCACTCTTGAAGACTTTACCCAATATCTCATGTCATACCTCAAAAATTTGAGAACCAGAGAAGCAGCATTGCCACCAACACAGTTAAATCCTAGTGCAGGTTCAGGTATACCATCCTACCACGTCAAATTGATGCCAAATAAGTCATTTGAATTCAATATAGATAATAATTCTTCAGAACAATTTTGTTTTTTGTCAGCTTCCTTAGTATGCTATTGCTAGGAAAACAAGTGCAAAATTTCAAAAAATAAAGATAGAATCATATGCACATTACACTACCCAAATGCTTAACCAATGAAATGACTATCATCAACATTGGCCAAAACAACTATAACTAGTCAAGGTATATACCAGGAGACTCTTGACATTTTTCACTTCCAATTCGTTCTCAGTGAAAACTTCATCAGCACCCAAATTCTTAAGTCTTTCTTTTACTTCATCAACACCAGGCCTGCAGCACAATTTTTTATTTTTATTTTTGAGAGAAATTTGTATCATAATAAGAATAATAATAAAAAAACATAATCTAAAACAATATTCAGAAGCTCAATAAACTTGCAAAGAACCTTAAAATGAGTACCTGTCCCTTATAATATTAATGTTGTAAATGCCACGAGATTTTGCAAGCTGAATGACACATTGGCCAACCATGCTGGTGGCCCCATTTTGCACAATAGCATCTCCTGTTAATACCCAGAATTACACAGTTAAAACAAATACTCATAAGCATAAAAAAATCAGGAATTGTAGCAAAGGGGCAATGCCTGAGTTCAAAGTAATGCAATCTTCAAGCATTAGCAGAGCAGTCAATGGATTAACAGTAATTGTAGCAGCATATTCCATAGGTACACCCTTGTCTATTTTGTGCCACACATTATGATCCTTCACAATATATGTCTGCCATGTCCCTTACTTAGCCACAAAAATAAATAAATAAATAAATAAACAAATCAAATTTCCAAATATAATAAAAAAAAAAAAGTGAATTTTAGGAAATTTGAAGGTTTAGGAGAAAGTGGGCACCAAAAGAGGGTGGAGAGGGAATAACCCAATCACCGGGAGAGAGAGAGGTAACTGCAGAACCCACGGAGTGAACCTCTCCAATTCCTTCGTAGCCACCAACTGCAGGTGGTTCTGGCCGCACTGGATACACGCCTTGTATTCTATTGATATCAGAAGGGTTTATAGGTGAAGCCAACATTTTCACACACACGTCATTCTCTTTCACTTCAACAGGTGGAACCTCCACCAACCTTGTCACCGCGTCCGGTGGCCCGTGCACCTCGTATATAATAGCCTTCGACGGCGGCGACACGGCGGAGGAGAGTGCTCTTGTGATTAAGGACTGGCCTCCACCACCATCGTTAACTAACCTCAACTTGAAGTTGAACAACAAACGCGGTGCTTTCACACAGAACGATCGCAACATTGATGCCATCACTCTCTTTCTCACTCTCTTTTGTTTTTTCTCGATCTTTCTAGCTCTTGTTGTTGGGATTGTGCTTAGCACCCTTACTCACCGGTTCTTTCTTCCAAAACGACGTCGTCAGATGTAAAATGGGAGCTCATCATAAGTTCATAACTATATCTTTGTAGAACCAATTAATTAAAAAAAAAATGATATAATTTAATTTGTACTACACTAGCTATGAGGTTAAGAATAAGGTACAAGTTACTTTTAAGGTCAAGTTGAAAAAAATTTAAAAAATAAAGTTATAAACTATTCATTGATTATATAAAAAGGATTTTGAGTAAGGGAAGATTAAATAATTTGTTATTAGGTTAAATTATTAGGGTAAAATTTTTTTTGATAAATATAAATTTAGAATAAGAGTAAAATTAAAAAAACAATTATAAAAACTCTAAAATGTTAATGTATATTCTAAAAAAACTCATTTTTAGAACTTTTAGCTTTAGTTTTTTTATTCATTATAATAAAAAAATTATAATAAAAACTTCTATAAAAATATATTTAGTTAAACTACTATTTGTAAGGAGAAAAAAAAGCTAAAAATATATTTTTCAAACAGCACTAAAACTGTCATTAAATTAAGATGTTATAACAAAATCATTGAACTGAGGTGTTACTGTTACTAAGCAAGAGCTCATCTTTGTGCATAAATATGTAGTTATGCCCTGTTCATGGTAATGGCTTTCTTATACTTTATATTTTTGCTGAATTGATGGATTGTGAACATCATTAATGAATAACATAAATTTGACTAGTGTCAATGTGACAATTTATTCGAAGGATAGTGCTGTTTTTCTTTGGAGTTATTGTGAACACCATGTAGCGTACATAGGGAGGCGTTAGGGTGCGCCTCAATTTTTTATATATATATATATATATATATATATAGGGGCACGATATTCTTACACCGGTGTAAGAGTTAGAAGTCTTACACTCAATCTTGACCATTGATCAACTTGTATCCAATGGCTCACGTTACTAAAAAATTTGAGCCCTTAAATATAAATGAGATCAATGGACAAGATTAAGAGTGTAACTTACACTGGTGTAAAATGATCCTTACCCATATATATATATATATATATATGTATATATATATATATATGTATATATATATATACATATATATATATATAGGGGCATGATCATCTTACACTGGTGCATGTAAGAATAATAAGTCTTATATTAAATTTTAACCATAGATTTTCTGCATCTAACGGATAAGATTTATTAGGTTTCACTCATTAATTAATTTTTAATTTTCAATAAATCTCAACCGTTAGATGCACGAAAATCAACGGTTAAGTTTTGGTGTAAGATTTATTATTCTTACACCGGTGTAAGTTGATCTTATCCCATATATTTATAGGGGCAGAATATTCTTACACCGGTGTAAGAGTTAGAAGTCTTACACTCAATCTTGACCATTGATTCATTTGTATCCAATTGCTCACATTACTAAAAAAATTGAGTCGTTAGATATAAATGAAATCAATGGATAAGATTGAGAGTGTAACTTACACTGGTGTAAAATATTTCTGACCCATACATATATATATATATATATATATATATATATATATATGAGAGATCATTTGACTCCAAAGTAACCACATCTCAGCCGTTGATTGACAGAAATCAACAATTGTCATTTATAGTGTAATTAATAATTAATTAATATAACTTCTTAAACTATAACTGTTAGATAGACGAAAATCAATGGTTAGGATGTGGAGTAAGACTATCTCAGCCGTTGATTGACAGAAATCAACAGTTGTCATTTATAGTGTAATTAATAATTAATTAATTAATATAACTTCTTAAACTATAACCGTTCGATAAACGAAAATCAATGGTTAGGGTGAAGAGTACGACTTGTAAGTCTTACTCTGGAGTCAAAAGAACCCTATATATATATATATATGAAAAATAATTATCTCATGTTGCATGAGATAATTATCTCATGCAACACAGACAAGATAGCGGTGTCCACTATTTTTACTTTTTACTTTTTTAAAAATAATAGACCCCACTATCTTGTCTCTGTTGCATGAGATAATTACCTCATGCAACATGAGATATATATATATATATATATATATATATATATATATATACCCTAAAAAAAAAAGATATACTTGAGCTGAAAATCAGGTGTATTTGGGGTAAAAATAATTAGATACCTTGTGAGTATTATTAAAGTTCAGTTCTTTGCCAAGCTTTGTAACGAAAGTCTCAAGCTATATCAAATGCTTAACATCTAATTTCAACTATAAAAGAGCTATTTTGGAAATTAAGAAAGACATGTTGAGATGTTTTATTGGTTCAAGTTCAAGAATTTTGCATAAAACATGACATTAACACTTTAGATATGATTACAAAATATATTACAAAGAGAGATTGTACTCGAAATGAACATGATGATTTTTTTATAGAAAAATTTTATACGACAAATATCTCTTTTGCTATAATTGATTATCAAATTCAATGATAATACTCGAGTTACTTGCTTTGAGCATGAGTTTATATACAAGAAATGGTTAGAAGTTATTTAATAATGATGATATTTGCAAACTTGTAGATAAGTTGCACTTGAAGATGAAGTTATAACATTTTGAACTCGACATTCCTATACATTCAGATTTGAATAATTTATCAATTACATCTTATTTATGTTGAGGGCTGACAAAAACTGGATCATCAATCATTTATTTTTTTTTATTGATAGAGTGATTAGACTTATATTCATTCTTTCAATTTCTACCGCAGCTATTAAAAGAGCTTTATCAGCCATAAAGATAATCAAAAACAGACTTTAAAATTGAATGGAAGACTAATTGATGATTCTTTAATTACATATATTTAAAAAAAAGTTATTTTGAATTTTAGTACATATTCAATTGTAGAAGAGTTTAATAATTTGAAAAAAATAAAAACTAAACAAGAGTTGAATGAACTGATCTTAAATTTTGTAATAAATTTAGGTTCATATTTTATTATATGGACTTTTACTTATAATATAAAAAAGGTTTATTTTTATCCCCTAATATGAACTGAGTGACTATAAAGGATGTGCTTTATATAGTTGGTATAATAAAGGAGTCATGTCTATGTTATATATGGAATATTTGTGTCAAACCATGTTGTGCTGTTTTTTATTTTATGATTCTCAGGTAATTAATATTAGGGTTATATTTATTTCATTCAACTAAATCAAATTTTTACACATATATAATCAAGTTAAGTCCCACTTTTATTTTTTTTTTCTCCAATTATTTGTGAGTCTCTCTTATAATTTTATTTCACTAACATAAGATAAAACAACATAACTAAATTTTTTTGATTGCTATTAACACCAAGCTACTTCTTCCTCCACCTTAACACGCAAACAGAAAGCTGTCTTATTATTGGTCGCATACCAACAATTTTAAATTGCGCTGGAGCATAATGGGAAAACATTAATCATAAAACAATTATTATTATGGTAGTTCTCTTAGCTGGGATTGTATAAATTGTTTTATGATATAACTGTAAATGCCACCGCTTAAATTTTGGAGTTTCTGGAAGGGATGCAACATCTTTAGTGGTTTTTTCTTTTTCTCTTTCTGGATTTAAACAATAATTGAAGCTACCCGCAGCATCTTTAGTGGTTTTTTCTTTTTCTCTTTGTCTTGTTCATATTGTATCGTGTCATGTCAATACACATAAAGTGACACAATTTGAATTTACTAATTATTCGTGTCATGTGATATTAACCCATAAAATAAATGAATCTTATTCATATCAAAGATTTTAACTTAATTTTAAATTGTGTTGATGTTAAATATATTTGTGTTGATATCAAATTTTTATTACATCGTATCGATTCGAATGGCTATACCACTACTACTTTAAGCCAACTTCCTTCAAGTCTTTAGTTCTAAGAGCTTAGTGCCTGGTGTCATAAATACAGTACACAATATTAAATTAAATTAGGTCGTTTTCAATATGGCGTGACAGTTCCTTTTTAGGACTAGAAAATAAGGTCAATACTCCATATTCGTCGTGGTGTACAGTGCAATAAATTTTTACTTTTTTTTTTTCATCTTTTGGCCCAACTCACAAAATTCTTGAATGTGGAGAATCTGTTCACTGATAGAGCAATGTTAATGTAGCCAAAAAGGTTTTTTCTTCTGCATCCAGCTAAGCACTATTATCAGGTGATGGATATTGAATGCAATTTGTCATTTCCAAAGAAAAAAAAAACCAGTCCGTGATCGTTTGTACTTGAAACCACAATTTCAAGTTGCAAATAATAAATGGGAAAATATTTTTCCTGCGTCAATAATTCCAAAAAATGTCATTTTGGGTTTATGAGTTGTGACTAAGGGTGTTCATCAACCGATTCAAACCGATTCAAACCGCGAAAACCGAACCGAAAAACCGATAACCGAATAAACCGAAAACCGAAAAATTAAAAACCGAAAAAAAACTGCAAATTTTAATTGGATTGGATCGGATTTCGAATGGGTTGATGAAAACCGATCCAATTCAAACCGATCCAATATATTAATTATCCTCTATGTACTTTATGATTTAAGTAATAAAGATAATCTATTATGATTTGTTAGGAGAATGGTGTTTCCTTTTATATTCCTCTAATTAATGATAGTCAGTAAAATCTCTTAGACGGTCATAACTCCTCTCTTGGGCTTTTAATTTTCATTTTTCATCATTTAATTGAGGAATTACTATTATTTTTATTTTGTGACACATGTTAACAAACCTATAACACTTTTTATATATGGGTTTTATGAGTATATATTACATCCTACTAGATGTGTCATGCCATATATATAAATAATCAGTGGGTTCCATTAAAAAAAAAAATAAATAAAATGAATCTCTCACTTTTTTAAGTCAGTAAGAAAAATATTCTGTGTCATGTAACATGACACTTATAAATTTTTATATATATATATATATATATATATATTGAAATGGATCATAAATTAGGAGATGTTTTCCACTTTTCCCTCATCTGCGCCACAGGCGGATTTCAT